TTTATAAAATATTTTACTTCTTTTTACTAATGACATAATCTTGCCATACATTATGTGTCAAAATCATATCTAAATACATATATTTCTCCCCACTGGTTAAATTAACCTAACCCTGGTTAAAATTGTTCCAGAAATGAAATTATTATAGCAGAATAAAGCCTTCAATGAGTTCAAATATATAGAATAATGGACTTCATGACAGTCTTAACTCACAACTTCTCAACAATTATTTTGTTTAATCAGTACATCTTGTCTTTCATTTTTTGTGAACTTGATTAAAAATGACTTTATTTGACTCTTAACTTGTCGGTCTTCTCTGCATTCATTACAGTTGCTCCACAGATCCTGTTCTCCTCTGGATTGCACCAAAACCACAGACCAGTTCAACTGTTCCTGTGAGACTGTGGGAAAGCCTTCTCCCACTTTACAGTGGTATTTGGATGGGTTACCTGTCAATCACTCAGACACATTTGCAATCAGCAATGAGCCTCTAAATGAGACAGGTCTGAGGATAATCATCACTGTGAATCAACCACAATGGAGGAATCTTTCCACTTTGCTCTGCCGCAGCTCCAACTCTCTGGGATCTGCTACTCAGAGGTTTTATTTCTACAGCCTTGAGCCTCAAACATCTGCACAATGTATGTGTTGTTCCAAAGTTTTATTGATGTTTTAGAAACTTTCAGGGATTTCTCAAATTCATATTTTATTATTACTATTATATTTATGTGACTAATGACTACTCATCAACATACCTTAATATTTCCTCTATTTGTGTTTGAAATACTGAATCAGAAATGCCCCAAAATATTTTTTACTGCCACATTAATTGTAAACATGGGTAGTGATACACTGTAACTAATCCAAAGGTATCATTTTGTTCAATGAAATGTTGTTAAAATGTTTTTCTCAAAGTTATGCATATATACTTTCTTTCTTGATAAAAAGAAAGAAGCATAAATCAGTTAGTAGTGATAAAAAGACGTTCCTTGTTTCCTTGAATTCTTTAAACAGTTCAATGTCCAAACTTTTATCAGAATAATTGTCTCATGTCTGAGTTACCTCTTTATCCTAATCTTCCACTGTCCCTTGTATGTTTCAGACCAAGTGACACTGACAGTCTTCATCATCATAGTTGTTGCACTGCTAGTACTAGTATGTGCTCTGCTGTTAGTCAACAGGTACGGTAACAGCTTGGAGACAAAATGTTCAGACATTCCCTTCCACACACAACTGCTATTACTAACTTTTACTTGGACTTCTGTGAGTGTTTGTTTGGGTCTTCATCCATCAGAACCAATTTAACACTTGTAATAGTTTGTGCTGTATCTGTAAACCATGTTCTGCGGAGACCTGGGACCTCATTTATATATCAAACTTATACATTTTTTATCTTTATTATGACTTCCACAGAGAACCATGAAACTGGTGGGTAATATTCATGTCCATCATATCCCTATTTGTTAGACACCTTTGACAGCTGATCCTCTTTTGTAGATTCAGTTTGTCTATGTTTGTCATATGTTGGCGTAGATTTTCAGTTTGTGATCAACGGTTTCATCCTGTTGATTAATAAATGAGCAGTGGGAAAAGATGAATCAAATATAACCATGTAGGTTAAATGTTCTACTGTATTTTTCAGAGCTCAGAAGACTCGCCATAATCTTCCTAAGGGCACCCTTGCTATGAGTCAACTTAACAAGTGGAGAGGGAAACGAGGTACGGGGGGATTTTATACTTAGAATTAAGTAATTAAATTTGGATTAGCAGAATATGTGTACCATTGATGTCTTCTCTTTAATTGCAGGTACCCAACACAACAGAAGACGACATTTCTATCAACGCCAGTGTGCTGAGACAGGAAGATGTCGCCCCTCCTGCAGCTGTCTCTGGCCCAAACAACGCCGACTCAGCAAGCTCTGGGCCAAACAATGCAGAAGGAGCCGATAAAAACTTAGAGAAGAAGAATGAAGGAGGCAGCGACGTGGTTTGCGCGAATGTGAACTGGAAGAGCAAGAGCAAGAAGAAGAAGAAGGAAGGTGATGCTGTGGACATGGATCAACCTGGTAGCTCCTATCTTGAGGAGGAGAGGTGCATGGTGGGAGGCATGAGCAGAAAATCTGTGAGCAACGCAATGGAGATGGGAAGCCTATAATTGACAATGTAGAGCCTAGAAATGTGAAGAAGGAAGTGGAATGTGAATATGCCCAGGTTCAATTTAAAAAAAAAAGTGAGAAGAAATAGATCACACTTCTGTATTGCTCTGCCTATTTTTAAAACTATTTTTCAGAATGTCTTGTTCTCTTGTACATACGTTTCCTCATTTGCTTTTTTGTTGTTGCTTTGAAACAGAATTTCAAATGAACAGAATTATGTTTCATTGTTTTTAATTTAAGAGGTTTTTAACATCTTGCAGATTTTGTGTCACTGAATAATTTTGTTTTACGTGCATGATATACTGTATTTTTACTCATATAATTATGTTTGGCTTGTGTAAATTGACAGATCCTCCTCTGTTTTACATTTATTTAGTAGTTTGGAATATTTTGTTTATTATATTCTTTTTGAACATTGGATTTTTGTTAAAACATACCTTGCTGTAGAAACAATAATAATCCAATAATCCGCAAAAACTGCTTTTGGATGAAATGTTACGGAATAATGGTCTAACATTGTTACAGCTGCTGTGTTCAGAAATTAAGAGGGTCAAAAGGTGACTCACTGACTGCTGTACAGCCGCTACTTTCTTAAACTGCTAAGCTTGTTTATGGGTAAAATTGAGTTTCATCTGTTTGTATCACTGTTGCTGAGTATCATTACACATAAAAAGATGACACAGTAAGCAAATATTTCAAATATTAGTGTCATCTGAAAATTATTTTACCCAACTTCTGGGATTTGTCCTAGAACAGGAAAAAGTAAAAAAAATAAAAATAAAAGTTTAAAACCTGCAGAATTCTCACATTTAAACTGGAAATGTACATTGTTTAATAATTTTGCAATCAATAAAAGGTATTTTAAAGTATTTGTAGCTTTTCTGATATTGTTAAGTGTTTTATTAACACTATTTGCAATGCAGTGTATCTGTATAAAATAATATACTATATATAATGACTAGTCAATTATTTAATCAATGTTTTCCATATCAACTTATTAAGTACTAGTGACCATAGGAAATACTAATTATCATGTTGCATTATTCAGGTTACTGGCATAGTGTCTGTCACATGAACTGAATCAGTTAATACTACTTAAATTTAATAGTCATGCAACATTTCACCACAGGTTGAGTTTATATTGGTATTTATTAATTTGTAAGACATTTTAGAGGAAATAACTAATAACTAACTACTAATAACTACTTGCAATATTCTGACTTCAATACTTGCTAATAGGCAGTGTCATCAGGTGTATTATAATTATCTGTATAATAGTTTCATCCTTTGCACAATGTTTTAATTTCAGGATTTTTACTATAATAGTGAACTGGTAAAGTTCAGTAATGGAACCAGTCAGATTATTCATAAAACGTTAATTATATCAATAATATATTACCAGCCCTTCATCTGCCACAATAATCCAATAACATTCCTGTTGAAATCTTATCAAACAGCTATCACTCACACTTCACATTGTAGACTCAATTATCTGAGCACACAGTGTGATTTGAAAACAATATTTGTAGGAGGAACAGGTTGGGTGTTGGTGATATACTGCGCCGCAAGATTCAGTGTCCCGGGCCAACAGGTGGGTGGCGGTGCAGAAACATAGCAAGAAAGCTGGTTGTTGTTGTTTGATGTCAACTTTTTGACATTACATTAATAACGTGGTTTACACTGATGATTTAACAGGACAAATACACCTGGTACAGAGCTGACAGAGGCCAGGAGGACTTTACTGGGACCGGACGTGTTTTAAACATTAAAGCTTCTAAAGTCAGGGGTCCTTTTATCTGCAGGGCTGATAATGATCTAGGAGCTGGACGTTGCAACATCAACCAAATAAACGGTGAATATAAGTTTTCGTTTATTTAAAGCTTTTATTTACCTTTTGGCTGTTAACACACTTTGTCATTGTAGACATACAACAACATTTTGTATGGTACCTCTCAGTGACAAGCGGCATCAATAAAAACAAGATAAAAAAAGATAATACATGTAAATACAGTAGTACTGTAACCCATATTGAAATGTGATAAATGGAAGTAATTGATTGAAATGCATAAATAAGTTAATTAATTAAAATGAATTCATGTAAGAATCAATCAATAGCTTTAATTGAATGGAAACAGTTAAAAGTATGGCTGTAAGAAATTCTCATGAACTTCCCCCTTTAGGAGACTCTCTGCTTGTTGCCATAGCAACAAGGAGAGTGGAGCAGAGAGGAGAGAAATTAACGAGAAAATATTTTAATGAAAAGTTGATTTAGAAGCTGAAAAGTAACACCTGCCTGGTCCGGGATTCATGAAGATTTTATATTAGTAAACCACAACGGTTTTTGGTGAGTTTCAATTATTTTCGTTGAAGCTTTGTTGCAGTATAATAAATGCTAGCGAAGAGCTAACAGTTGAAAAAGCTATAAACATACTGTTAATCAGTTAATTAATTAGTTTGGTTTGTTAAGGAAATGAGGTATGAATGTATATTGTGTTAGTGGAAAAATGTGGAAATGTATTTTATGTAAAGGTGTGTGGTTAATTGCATGAGGGCAGGAGAAAAGTACAGCAGTGTGAACAACGTGGCAGTAATGTTGCAATTTACAGTAATTATAAAACTTTATCCTGGTTTATGTAGTTAGAATAATTCATTTACTTTTTCAGTTTTTTTCCTTGTTCCTGTATGAAGTTGGACTTGAGTGTTGCTTCTTCTGCAGTGTGTGGAGGACGACAAACACACACACAAGCGGGATACAAGATGGCGAGCCAACCCATGGACCCATGAAGTTTCTAGAGACAACTCCGCTCCATCATGTCAGAAAGGATCCGCTGTGTACACACTGTTGGTAAACTGGCTGCCAGAGCGGTAGTGTTGGGGTTATTCTTTTTCCCCTTTTCTCTCTTTGAACTGAACTTGAACTGAAATTAAGTATTACTTCATATTGTATTCTGCAGTGTTGGGGTAGTTACTGAAACAAAATTCATTACACATTACTAGTTACTTTTTTAAAAAGTAATGCCTTACTTTACTGTGTTACTCGCTGCTTAAAGTAATTAGTTACACTACTAGTTACATTACTTTTGGATTACTCCATGAGATCACCTGAGATGCACCATACCTTCATTGCCAATGTTTTCTTTAGCTCAGTGTCCATCTTGACATAACACTGGTCCAGGTAGCTTGTAAAGGTTTTCCTGTCTGATGGCGGGCGTCCGCTCCGCGTTGTGTGTATTTTGCTCAGTTTCGAAAGACGACGATTCCACAGTTACTTTGTAACGTTACCCCCAACACTGGTCTTCATAATTGTGAAAGTTATGATTTAAAGCATAAGTGTTTGACTTGACTAAGATTTTTGAAAATGGTGTAAATATTCTTTTATTTTCTTACTTGTGAAGGGAAGAAAAAAAAGAGTAAACTCAAGGAGATAGAAAGAAACCAAAAATAGGTGCAACCTGTCCACATAAAATAAGACAGTTACTTATAGACCGGTCTAATATAAAAACTTTCTAAACCAAATTATTTAAAATCTAGGTAAGGGGAAGATGAGTTCTATTTGACTTTTTTGTTACCTGCAGGACTATTCACTGGTTCTAATATTTGTTATGTGTATTGTCTATGTTAAATTTCAGTAAACTGCTGGTTTTGTATTTAAAGTACCTGGTCTCTGGTTTCATTTTGTATCGTTACCCCACTCTGTTGAACCTAGAACTGGTCCAGTAGAATTAATAGGGTTGTATTAGAGTATACATGTACTACAATACATATAAATATGAAGAGAGAGGCATTTGGATGAGCAGGTAAGCAGTGATAGTGCACATTGTCAGTATCAGTATAAAATATATATTTCACAACAGTTTGACAGTATACAGCAGAGACAAGATATGTGTAGTATATGTGTATGTGCTGTTTGTAATAAAGTTTTTATGTGCAATACAACAGGTGGGTGAATGAGTCTTTCAGTCTATAACTCCTGTGAGAGGGTGGGGGTGACGGAGGCTTCAGCTCTGGGGGAAGAAGCTGTTCCTATGTGTCTGTTTGAACTAAATGAGATCTTTCTCTGTCCGTCCACTGACTCCTGGTAAAGGACTTTGACCAATTCCCAATCAATGCTCTGATACGTTTCTAAAGTAATTGATATACATTATCATATATTTTGTTGTTGTTTTTATTGACATTATTATTATTACTACTACTACTACTACTGCTACTACAGGTCAACAATCACTGAACTGAATCTACATTCAATATGAAATACATAAAGCTGTTGAGTTGGAGTTAGATGATAAAATGTCCGTGTGCCATACAACTGTGTCCGCCTCCCCTATATGACGTGGGACTGTTTAAAACTGATAAAAAAAGTACATACATTTCATTTTCACACTCATGTGCACTTTTGTAACTTCCTCATTTTAAAGTTAATTCTTGCATGCGGTTCGAGAAAGCAACATAACTTTTAAGGAACTTCACTTCTCTATACGTCTTGATCTGTCTGCCTGGAAGACCTGAAGAAAATGTAAGTCATCATAACTTCTATATGACACATATTAAATTCATTAATGTTAAATACACTATGAAGTAATAAAAACATAAACATTAGGTCATTTTACTTTAGATCAATAAACAATGTTAAAGGTATAAAACAGAAAACACAGGTGGTAAAAGTTCCCATTGAAATGTAAGCTGTAATTTGATTGTAGTTTGAGACAGTTGAAAATAGTTGTGAAAAAAAAATTGTAACATTGTAAATAAATGGAAAGAAATCAAGAAAAGAGACTATATGTTTGTCATTTTTTCCTTTCACAAAACAGTATAACTTCCTGTTTTTCCTTTTCATCATTTCATCTTCTACGTCTTGTTTAACCAAAGCAGCATGTTGTAACTCTGACAAACTGAATGTTACAAAGTGTGGGTCAAACAATAGTTTGTTTTTGCAAATCTTTTATAATAAGTTATAAATAAAAAGGCAAAATTGCAAGAAACGTATTTAAAATAAGTATTGATTAATTTAACTGTTTAATTATAGTTTTTTTCATGAAATTAAGAAATAGATACAGGATTGCAAACGTTTCTTTGTATGCAACCTCTGCAAATATTGCATTCAATAGTAGCCTCCAAATGAACCCTACTGTAAAAGTTTATAAGGGATGAAATGTACTAATGATGTGAATTGTTCCATGTGTAATCTCCAGAGTTTCTGTCTCTCCTGACACACAAAGATGGCTGCAGCTCTGACTCTCCTTCTCATTGGCTGTCTGCTGCAGAGTGAGTTAAAGTTCATTCACATTTTTATAGTTTTATAGTCATCAATGACTTTAAAACTATTAAAACCTATATCTACACACTGTTAGTTAAGCATTCACACAACAGAACAACAGTATCTATAATACATGGTGCACTAAATACATTTGATGGGTGAAACATTTTATTTTTATCTAGAAAAAATCATTACAGTCATCTTTTGGATTATTTTATGAATAAAGGTTTTGTGCTAAGATTCTAGCACGGCAACCAAACAGTCAAATTTCCTTATTATTGTAAAGTAGTTTTCACTTGTTCTCATTTACAGGTTTGTGTCTTGTGTTTCAGGTGTCCACTGTGGAGAGTTTAAGGTCACTATGCCGCAGACTATAGAAGTTCTCAGGGGGATCCTGTGTGACCATCCCCTGCTCCCTTTGATATAAAGGACGGATATAGATCAGACTTAGATAGAACATGTAAAGCAATGTGGAAACATTATCAAGATGTTGTTGTGTTTAATAGCAGAAATCCTCATTCGTCTACAATAAAAGGAAAACTGACAGGAGTCTTAACAGCTAAAGACTGCACCACAACTCTGAACAACATGCAACCTGAACACAGCAATAAATATTACCTCAGAGTGCAATGTGACAATGGCCTCAAATATGATTTTTTTGAACAAAAGTTGGACATTTCAGTAAAAGGTAGGTTTTAAAGTCAATGTATTTACACTTCAGTTATTTAGAACTGCTTTGACCTTGTACTCCATTAATTGCACTTTTCAAATAGTATATAAAACGGAGAAGAATTACATTTTTACTGACTGGTCAAAATGTACCTTTCCACCAGATGATCCTCCCAGACCAACTCTGACTCCGTCCACACTGGAGGTGAAGGAGGGAACCTCAGTGAGTTTGAAGTGCTCTGCTCCAGCTCCCTGTCTGTCTCATCCTCCAACTCTGACATGGACCCCCAGCCTGGGTCACAGTCAGGGAGACACTGGAGGAGAATCAGGACAAAACTAAAGTCAAGACCTCTGTTGTGAACTTCACTGCTTCTCACCTCCATCACAGACAGGAAATCTCCTGTACTGCTGTCTACAACAAACAAGATGGCAGCACTGAGTCATCTGTTAGCACAAGTTTAACAGCTGATATTTCATGTAAGTTCATTTGTTTGTTTGTTTTTTAATTCATCATGAAACAAATTTAATTGAATTAGTCAAATCTTCTACAAAATATTAGCAGAAAAGTAATTTTGATGACAATATTTATATATAATGCTTTTTTATAAAAAAGAGCAAAAAACATGACAAATTACTTGATTTCCAAATATCAGATTACATTACACCTTTAAATAATACCAAACATTTATTTGTCATTTTTTTGTGTGGAAGTGCAGCAAGAAAGCTGGCTGTTGTTTGATGTCAACTTTCTTTTACAATGATGCTTTACCAGGATGAATATGATCAAAGTTAATTCAATCTCCAGGGAACACAGATATTACGACTTATAACTGACAATGTAACACATACCAATGATATTTATTTTTCAGATTCCCCCAAACACACCACAGTGTCAGTCAGTCCCTCTGGTCCAGTACCAGAAGACAGCACTGTGACTCTGACATGCAGTAGTACTGCCAACCCAGCAGTAAGGACCTACACCTGGTACAGAGCTGATGGAGGCCAGGAGACTTTTTATTGGGACCGGACGTGTTTTAAACATTGAAGCTTCTGAAGTCAGTGGTCCTTTTTTCTGCAAGGCTGAAAATGATCTTGGAGCTGGACGATCCAACATCAGTCAAATAGACGTTCAGTGTATGTATCTAATATCAAACTTGAAATGTTCTATATACTCTGGTCTAGCTGTATGCAGTACACTGATTTACATTTAATAATATATTTTCATTATTTGGCTAAGTTAGATATTTACGGTATGTTTAGGATTTTAAAATGTCCAACTTTAGCACCACTGTGTTGTCATCAAAAAAATATTTTTGTGTAGCACATGTATACTCTAATACAACTCTATTATTGCTACTGGACCAGTTCTAGGTTCAACAGAGTGGGGTAACCATACAAAATGAAACCAGAGACCAGGTACTTTAAATACAAAAACCAGCAGTTTACTGAAATTTAACATAGACAATACATATAACAAATATCAGAACCAGTGAATAGTCCTGCAGGTAACAAAAAAGTAAAGTAGAACTCACTTTCCCTTTTTTTCCTCACCTAGATTTTAAATAATTTGGTTTAGAGTTTTATGTTAGACCAGTCTATAAGTCTATATCTTATTTTATGTTAATATGTTGCACCTATTTTTGGTTTCTTTCTATCTCGTGTTAACTCTTTTTTTAAGTTAGAAAACAAAAGAATATTTACACCATTTTCAAAAATCTTAGTCAAGTTACACTGTTTTGCTTTAAATCATAACTTTCACAATTATGAAGACAGAATAAAATATTAATTTCAGTTCAAGTTCAGTTCCACTCTTATATTTCAGTTCAGCTCAGTTTAAAGAGAGAAAAGTGGAAAAAGAATAACATCAACAGTCCTACCGACCTGTCCAACAGGTCATGAAATAAATGAATTATTCTAACTACATAAACCAGGATAAAGTTTTATAATTACTGTAAATTGCAACATTACTGCCACGTTGTTCACACTGCTGTACTTTTCTCCTGCCCTCATGCAATTAACCACACACCTTTGCTTTACATAAAATACATTTCCACATTTTTCCAATAACACAATATACATTCATACCTCATTTCCTTAACAAACCAAACTAATTAATTAACTGATTAACAGTATGTTTATAGCTTTTTTCCAGTTACAACTGTTAGCTCTTCGCTAGCATTTATTATACTGCAACAAAGCTTCAACGAAAATAATTGAAACTCACCAAAAACCGTTGTGGTTTACTAATATAAAATCCTCATGAATCCCCGACCAGGCAGGTGTTACTTTTCAGCTTCTAAATCAACTTTTCATTAAAATATTTTCTCTCTTTAATTTCTCTCCTCTCTGCTCCACTCTCCTTGTTGCTATGGCAACAAACAGCAGCGAGTCTCTTAAAAGGGAAGTTCAGGAGAATTTCTTACAGCCATACTTTTAACTGTTTCCATTCAATTAAAGTTAAACAATTATTAATTGAATCTTAGATTAATGCATTTTAATCAATAAACTTATTCATGCATTTTAATCAATTACTTCTATTTGTCACATTTCAATGTGGGTAACATCTGCATTCCATCTTACTAGTTAATCCTTTTCAGTCTCCAATATCACACACATGTTAATACAAGCTAGTCAGTCATTTAATGGTGTCTCTCCTCTTTAACTTGTTAAGTACTAGTGAAGATAGGAAATACGAGATACCATGTTGTATTATCCAGGTATTTGCACTCCAGGGTCATCAGTTACAAAAAGGTGTCGGCACTATAACTTTAGAAGAAAAATCGTGACACAATCTACCTTAATTATTTCATGACAAATATAAGATCAAATTATACCTATAAAAATACAAATAATGTTTCCATAAGTGTAATCATTTCTTTTTCAGATTCACCCAAACACACCACAGTGTCAGTCAGTCCCTCTGGTCCAGTACCAGAAGACAGCACTGTGACTCTGACATGCAGTAGTACTGCCAACCCAGCAGTAAGGAACTACACCTGGTACAGAGCTGATGGAGGCCAGGAGACTTTTATTGGGACCGGACGTGTTTTAAACATTAAAGCTTCTGAAGTCAGTGGTCCTTTTTTCTGCAAGGCTGAAAATGATCTTGGAGCTGGACGATCCAACATCAGTCAAATAGATGTTCTGTGTAAGTATTGCATGAGTAAAACCCAGGCACAATTCAGTTTATCTAAAGATTCTATTAAGTCATTCATTCATTATCTTTATTTTATTTTGTATTTTTTTCCCCCAAAGCTCCCTGGTAGCTCACCAGCGTGCCCCATAAGAATATCATTTAATATAATTATTGATACAATGTCTTCAGTAAGATGTTAACAAAATGTCTTAATTGATGCAATAAATAAGCAGGTCAGATTTAGAGTTTTGTGAAAAACAAAACAAAAAATGATAATGAAAATGTTTTACTCTAAACACACAAATCTCACCACATGTGGTCAGCAGGCTCTCGTCTCAATGATAGTATCCTCATTTGGTGATAGGAGTTCAGTTGGAAACAATATTAAACCTATATATAGTTTTTAGTCCCATTCATAGTAATTAGACTCTTTCACAGTTTTCCAGCTACAATACTCCTTCAGTTACTTACAACAAATTGAAGCCAGTGATTCAGTGTATCGACAGGTCTTTAACACCTTCAAATCTTCCACCTTTTACAGGTTATTAATATTATTTAACTTTTAGATCCAGCAATCCAAAAGTGTTGCGTAAACTGTTCAACGGCTCTTCATTATTACACATCATTGAAAGAATTTCAAAACCAGTAATTCAGCCTGTCGTAGGCCGTTCAGCAGTCTGCATTCACACCTGCAATTCTCTAGTTATATGAGAGGTTGTACGTTACATCTAAGAGGTGTCTCTAATATTTAGTCTAGTAATAGTATGAGGCAAGATTATAACCGTGACCGTCACTGTTCAAATATGGTCTTTTGTGTCCGATGTAAATAACCTCTTTGTTCTTTCTTGTTCCATCCACTGACTCCAGGTAATAACCAATTCCCAGTCAATGCTCTGATGTTTCTAACTGGTATAAATCATTATATATTTTTTTATTATTTATTTACTTGATTTTGCTCCCTTTACTTACCACAGTCAATTATTTGACAAAATCAGGCAAATACACTAACAGATAACTAAATATGTCATTAGTTAACCCATTTGTAAAACAAACCTAACCCTGGGTTAATATGGCTACAAACAATTCCTTTATTCCTGTGGTAACAAGGAAAATGAGCACAGACAAGACCCTCAACGTAGAAAATAACTTTGCATTAAGTTTGTCTTCACTTGCAACTTACAGTTATTGTGATATCAGTACATCTTGTCATTTATTTTTGCAAACTTGATTAAACATGACTATTACAAGCTTGACTCAGACATGTGACAGCAGAGGGAGTCAACACACACAAATGTCCAAAGCCAAAATAATTTATAAGAAAATAAGAGTTAGGATGTATGTGTGACTAAACTAAAAAGGCCTGGATTTTATTTTATACCTTTGGCCCCTCCCAGTAAAGGAAGCCACATGGACTGTCACAAACTTCATTCTTAACTTGTCGGTTTTCTCTATATTCATTACAGTTGCTCCACAGATCCTGTTCTCCTCTGATTGCATCAAAACTGCAGACCAGCTCAACTGTTCCTGTGAGACTGTCGGAAAACCTTCTCCCACTTTACAGTGGTATTTGGATGGGTTACCTGTCAATCACTCTGACAAGTTTGCAATCAGCAACGAGCCTCTAAATGAGACAAGGCTGAAGATATTCATCACTGTGAATCAACCACAGGAGAGGGATCTTTCCTCTTTGCTCTGCCGCAGCTCCAACTCTCTGGGATCTGCCAGTCAACGTTTTTATGTTCTTCAAACATCTACAGAAAGTCAGGGTTTGTCATAGTTCTATTGATTAGTTGGAAATGATCAGGATTTCTTAAAATTTCATTTCATATATTAATTTAGTGACTAGGCTTTTCTTTTATAATAATAAAAAACACCCCCAAAAATTATTTCTGTGTGTCACGAGTAGTGATGCACTGTAACCAGTCCCCAACCAGGATGATTGAGCCAGGGATATGATATGTGAAGTGTTATTGTTGTTTCTTGTGACAGGTCTTGAGCAACATTGTGGACCGTACTGTGGAATTCTTCTATTGGCTGTTGCTGGTGTCTCTCTCAGTGTGAATGTCTTGTACACAATCTACGTGGTGTTCCTTTGGTATGTATGTTATTACAGTGGATTATATTTTTTTGTAAAAGCTCTGCTGATGAATAGCAATGTTGCTTTTAGAAAATATTGAATATGTACTTTTATTTTTCTTTCTCCTCAAAGTAAAAGAAGAAAGAGTGTGAAGCCAAAAGAAGAGGAGAGGACTTACATGTCTTTGGATCGTAGAGACACATCTCCAGAGTATGATGTCATTGCCCAAACTCCAAAATGACTCCCTCTACTTCCACTGATGATGAGCTTGATGATTATCACATAACATTGCTTAATGATTTATTGTATATCTTATACTGAGGCAAAAGCTCATCCTTCATCACCTTGCTCTCTCTTGCAGTGCCTTAAACTTCCACTTAGTGATATCAGTGTTTATGTATCAATTATCTAACATTGAACAACTATACAATGTAATGTAAATAAATACTTTTCTATATAAATCTTCTAATGCTCGCTTTTGTAGAAATGTTTTAAACTTCAACAGAAAGGTTATTGATTATGCTATATGGTCATTTTTAGGTACTGAGGTTTTCATGTTTGTTGGTGTACATATGTATGGTATACATACTGTTGTGTCTCGTCAAGTGTGTTCATTTTGTCATGTTCATGTTTAGTGTTCCATGACTACCCCTCCCTTTTTTTTGTACCACCTTTTCCTCTTTCCCCCCCCTCCCCCCCTTTTTTTTCCCTTTTTTTTTCCCCCCGCCCCTGCCCCCCCTGATTGTTTTCACCTGTTTTCACTTACACCTGGTATAAATAGTCCTTGTCCTCTTTTTTTTTTTTTTTTTTTTTTTTTGTTTTGTTTAGATTGTGTAATGTTTTGTCTTGTGTTCTTTTTTTTGTTTTGTTTTTTTTTTTGTTGTTTTTTTGTTTTTTTTTTTGTTGTTGTGTCCTTTTTTTTCTTTTTTTTCAACAAAAAAAAAACAAAAAATACCCCTTTTGTCCATCTTCGTCAGTCCCTGAATCGTGCGTTTGAGTCCACCAGAATTGTGTCTGAGGTTGTGACACGTACATGTCTTTCTCATGAATAAGAGGACAGGATTTACAGGACACTGGATCGAAGAGATGAGTCTCAGAAACAGACGTTGTCAACATCCGCTGAGTGCTTTGTTGATTGTTTGACAATGACACTGAAATATTTCTGAACAAAATATTAGACCATTGTTCATTTCCTGTTTGTTCCCTGGTCCAAACAGTAATTGTCTTTTAAAGCATGACCACAATTATTGTTACATAACTTCAACCATACATTTGTTTATTGTAATTTGTAATTTTAAACTGTTTCAGAAGGCTCAGACAAATGTTGTCTACCTGTCGATAGTAGACTTGTTGTAATACTATTTTGAATATCAACTAGAATTATCAGTGTGTCGGAACCCCTATTTGCTACAATAGGTGAGTACAATAACATGAGCACAATGTAATGTAAATAGCACTGTAGAGATAGTAGCTTTGAAGGGGTTATACTGCTTAATTATTGGTGAAACTGGATCACAGAGTTATTCACTTAACTTTGTGCTCATTTGAGTGTGTGGTGGTTTTATTTTGCACTCTGTTTATTTTTTTGGTTGTAAATTTGTCTTTTACATACAATACATACATATAGAGACCATGTACGTTAACAACACGGCAAACGACTGCATCAGCTATCACTGAACTGAATGAACATTCAATATGACATTCAATAAAAAAGGTTCATACATACTGAACTGAACTCGACTCAATTAGATGATAAAATGTCTGTGTGCATATGACTGTGTCTGCCTCTCCCTTATCTGACGTGTGACTGTTAAAAAACATTTCTTGAAACAATTACAATTAAATATTTATCCATAAACTTATTTATAATAATTTGTAAGCTATATATGTTTCCCATAGTAAGTAAGAAAAAGTACACTTCATTGTTACATGAATCTGCACTTTTGTGACTTCCTCATTTTAAAGTTAATTCTTGCATTCTGTTGGAAACAGCAGCACAACTTTGAAGGAACTTCACTTCTCTATACATCTTTGATCTGTCTACCTGGAAGACCTGAAGACAATGTAAGTCATCATAACTTCTACATGACACATATTACATAAGCAACATTTTTTAAATGTACTATAAAATTCAAAAAATATAAACATGAGGTTACTTTGCTCTCAACAATTACAGTGCAAAATTTCAAAGGTAGAAAAAGAAAAGACACTAAATATGTGAAAGGTGGCAAAATCGTCCGATTGTGGTTTAAGAATGTTGAAACTAATTCTCTCAAATAAATTGTAACTTTGTAAATAAACTGAAAAAAAGACATAGTATGTTTGTCATTTTTTTCCTTTCACAAAACAGCATAGCTTCCTGTTTTTCATTTTTATTATCTATTAATTTTCTACGTCTTTTTTAACCAAAGCAGCATGTTGTAGCACTGAACTGAATGTTACAAAGGGTGGGTATTGATTAGGCCTTGATTGAAGTATTGATTAATTTAACTGTTCAATTATAGTTTTTAAAGGAATGCAGTAATACGTCCCCTTATTCCTCTACGAATGATAAATAGGTGTGCTGTGTCACCGTGACCTCATGAAATGAAGAAACAGATCCGGATTGCAAAACGTTTCTTTGTCTGCAACCTCTGCAAATATTAAATTAAATACTGGCCTCCAGGTGAACCCTACTGTAAAAGTTCATGAGGGATGAAATGTACTAAAGATGTGAATTGTTCCATGTGTAATCTCCAGAGTTTCTGCCTCTCCTGACACACAAAGATGGCTGCAGCTCTGACTCTCCCTTCTCATTGGCTGTCTGCTGCAGAGTGAGTTAAAGTTCATTCATATTTGGATCAATGACTATAAAACTATTAAAACCTATATCTACACACTGTTAGTTAAGCATTCACACCACAGAACAGCAGTATCTTTGATACATGGTTCACTAAATACATTTGATGAGTGAACAATTTTATTTATCTCGAAAAAAATCTTTACAGTCTTCATTTTAGATTATTTTATGAATAAAGGTATAGCGCTAAGATTCTAGCACGGCAACCAAACAGTCAAATTTCCTTCTTATTGTAAAGTAGTATTCACTTGTTCTCATTCACAGGTTTGTGTCTTGTGTTTCAGGTGTCCACTGTGGAGAGTTTAAGGTCACTATGCCGCAGACTATAGAGGTTCTGAGGGGATCCTGTGTGACCATCCCCTGCTCCTTTGATATAAAGGACGGATTTGGATCAAACTTAGATAGAACATGTAAAGCAATGTGGAAAAATGAACAAAGGACTGTTGTGTTTGACAGCAGCAATCCACAACCGTCTATAATAACAGGAAATTTGACAGGACACTTAACAAAAAGGGACTGCACCACAACCCTGAACAACATGCAACCTGAACACAGCAACAAATATCACCTCAGACTGGAATGTGACAATCGCCTGAAATATGATTTTAATCAACAAAAGTTGGACATTTCAGTAAAAAGTAAGGTTTTAAAGTCCATTTAGTTACACTTCAGTTGTTTATTTTTGTAGAACTGCTTTGACCTTGTTCTCCATTAATTGCACTTTTCAAATAGTATATAAAATGGAGAAGAATTACATTTTTACTGACTGGTCAAAATGTACCTTCCCACCAGATGATCCTCCCAGACTGACTCTGACTCCGTCCACACTGGAGGTGAAGGAGGGAACCTCAGTGAGTTTGAAGTGCTCTGCTCCAGCTCCCTGTCTGTCTCATCCTCCAACTCTGACATGGACCCCCAGCCTGGGTCACAGTCAGGAGACACTGGAGGAGAATCAGGACAAAACTAAAGTCAAGACCTCTGTTGTGACCTTCACTGCTTCTCACCTCCATCACAGACAGGAAATCTCCTGTACTGCCGTCTACAACAAACAAGATGGCAGCACTGAGTCATCTGTTAGGACAAGTTTAACAGCTGATATTTCATGTAAGTTCATTAGTTAATTTTTTAATTCATCATGAAACAATTTTAAGTCAAATCTTCTACAAAAGATTAGCAGAAAAGTAATTTTGATGACAATTTTTATATATAATGCATTTTATAAAAAATGGGTCAGCACACATGACAAATTACTTGATTTCCAAATATCAGATTACATTACACTTTTAAATAATACAAATCATTTATTTGTCATTTTGTTGTGTGGAAGTGCAGCAAGAAAGCTGGCTGTTGTTTGCTGTCAACTTTCTTTTACAATGATGCTTTACCAGGATCAAAGTGATCAAAGTTAATTCAATCTCCAGGGAACACAGATATTACGACTTATAACTGACAGTGTAACACATACCAATGATATTTATATTTCAGATTTACCCAAACACACCACAGTGTCAGTCAGTCCCTCTGGTCCAGTACCAGAAGACAGCACTGTGACTCTGACATGCAGTAGTACTGCCAACCCAGCAGTAAGGACCTACACCTGGTACAGAGCTGATGGAGGCCAGGAGACTTTTATTGGGACCGGACGTGTTTTAAACATTAAAGCTTCTGAAGTCAGTGGTCCTTTTTTCTGCAAGGTTGAAAATGATCTTGGAGCTGGACGATCCAACATCAGTCAAATAGATGTTCAGTGTAAGTATCAAATTTCAAAGTCAAAATGCTCTATATACTCTGATAGGTCTAGCTGTATGCAGTACACTGATTTACATATAATAATATTTTGTGATTCATTTGTTAATTTAGATATTTAGGTGATAATTTGAATGCCGAACTTTAACACCCCCCATGTAGTTATCAAAAGAGATTTTTACATTCCACCGTACTAGTTAATCCTTTTCAGCCAACAATATCATACTCATGTCATTATTGGCTAGTCAATCATTTAATAGTCGCTTTCCTTGTCAACCCATTAAGCACAGTAGTTTGAGGAGGCACATGTTGGTCGTAGGTCACATATTGCATGTAGCCCTCAAGATTCAGTTGGGTAGTCCAACAAATGTGTGTTAGTGCAGCAAGGAAGCTGGCTGTTCTTTGCGGTCAACTTTCTCTCGATGGAACACATATATTAGAAATTACAATGTAACACATAATAATATTTATGTTTCAGATTCACCCAAACACACCACAGTGTCAGTCAGTCCCTCTGGTCCAGTACCAGAAGACAGCACTGTGACTCTGACATGCAGTAGTACTGCCAACCCAGCAGTAAGGAACTACACCTGGTACAGAGCTGATGGAGGCCAGGAGACCTTTATTGGGACCGGACGTGTTTTAAACATTAAAGCTTCTGAAGTCAGTGGTCCTTTTTTCTGTAAGGCTGAAAATGATCTTGGAGCTGGACGATCCATCATCAGTCAAATAGGCGTTCAGTGTGAGTATCACATGATTAAAACTTTTATATTACCTCAATCAAGGTATAATTCAATGTATTCTGTTTAGTCATTAATCTATTTACTATTGTATTTAGTTTTTCAAAAGCTCTTGACTTAATCTGTTTATTTATTACATTTATTTAAACATTTTATTAAGCAATCTCTTCTTTAATAAATGTGACACATTTTTAGGATAGTTTATACATTACACATGTTTCTAATATTCAATATAACCTTAGGAGTGTATTGGAAATATTATAGCATCCCTATCACTGTTCAAGTATAGTCTTTGGCGTCTAATGTGAATGGCCTTTAACTTCTATGTATTTGCTGGTTAATGACATTGAACAATTCTCGATGACATCATCGTTTTATAAAATGTTTTACTTCTTTTTTACTAATGACATAATCTTGCCATACATTATGTGTCAAAATCATATCTAAATACATATATTTCTCCCCACTGGTAAAATTAACCTAACCCTGGGTTAAAATTGTTCCAGAAAATTAAATTATTATAGCAGAATAAAGCCTTCAATGAGTTCAAATATATAGAATAATGGACTTCATGACAGTCTTAACTCACAACTTCTCAACAATTATTTTGTTAAATCAGTACATCTTGTCTTTCATTTTTGTGAACTTGATTAAAAATGACTTTATTTGACTCTTAACTTGTCGGTCTTCTCTGCATTCATTACAGTTGCTCCACAGATCCTGTTCTCCTCTTATTGCACCAAAACTACAGACCAGCTCAACTGTTCCTGTGAGACTGTGGGAAACCCTTCTCCCACTTTACAGTGGTATTTGGATGGGTTACCTTTCAATCACTCAGACACGTTTGCAATCAGCAATGAGCCTCTAAATGAGACAGGTCTGAGGATAATCATCACTGTGAATCAACCACAATGGAGGAATCTTTCCACTTTGCTCTGCCGCAGCTCCAACTCTCTGGGATCTGCTACTCAGAGGTTTTATTTCTACAGCCTTGAGCCTCAAACATCTGCACAATGTATGTGTTGTGCCAAAGTTTTATTGATGTTTTAGAAACTTTCAGGATTTCTCAAATTCATATTTTATTATTACTATTATATTTATGTGACTAATGACTACTCATCAACATACCTTAATATTTCCTCTATTTGTGTTTGAAATACTGAATCAGAAATGCCCCAAAATATTTTTTACTGCCACATTAATTGTAAACATGGGTAGTGATACACTGTAACTAATCCAAAGGTATCATTTTGTTCAATGAAATGTTGTTAAAATGTTTTCTCAAAGTTATGCATATATACTTTCTTTCTTGATAAAAGAAAGAAGCATAAATCAGTTAGTAGTGATAAAAAGACGTTCCTTGTTTCCTTGAATTCTTTAAACAGTTCAATGTCCAAACTTTTATCAGAATAATTGTCTCATGTCTGAGTTACCTCTTTATCCTAATCTTCCACTGTCCCTTGTATGTTTCAGACCAAGTGACACTGACAGTCTTCATCATCATAGTTGTTGCACTGCTAGTACTAGTATGTGCTCTGCTGTTAGTCAACAGGTACGGTAACAGCTTGAGACAAAATGTTCAGACATTCCCTTCCACACACAACTGCTATTACTAACTTTTACTTGGACTTCTGTGAGTGTTTGTTTGGGTCTTCATCCATCAGAACCAATTTAACACTTGTAATAGTTTGTGCTGTATCTGTAAACCATGTTCTGCGGAGACCTGGGACCTCATTTATATATCAAACTTATACATTTTTTATCTTTATTATGACTTCCACAGAGAACCATGAAACTGGTGGGTAATATTCATGTCCATCATATCCCTATTTGTTAGACACCTTTGACAGCTGATCCTCTTTGTAGATTCAGTTTGTCTATGTTTGTCATATGTTGCGTAGATTTTCATTTGTGATCAACGGTTTCATCCTGTTGATTAATAAATGAGCAGTGGGAAAAAGATGAATCAAATATAACCATGTAGGTTAAATGTTCTACTGTATTTTTCAGAGCTCAGAAGACTCGCCATAATCTTCCTAAGGGCACCGTTGCTATGAGTCAACTTCTAACAAGTGGAGAGGGAAACGAGGTACGGGGGATTTTATACTTAGAATTAAGTAATTAAATTTGGATTAGCAGAATATGTGTACCATTGATGTCTTCTCTTTAATTGCAGGTACCCAACACAACAGAAGACGACATTTCTATCAACGCCAGTGTGCTGAGACAGGAAGATGTCGCCCCTCCTGCAGCTGTCTCTGGCCCAAACAACGCCGACTCAGCAAGCTCTGGGCCAAACAATGCAGAAGGAGCCGATAAAAACTTAGAGAAGAAGAATGAAGGAGGCAGCGACGTGGTTTTACGCGAATGTGAACTGGAAGAGCAAGAGCAAGAAGAAGAAGAAGGAAGGTGATGCTGTGGACATGGATCAACCTGGTAGCTCCTATCTTGAGGAGGAGAGGTGCATGGTGGGAGGCATGAGCAGAAAATCTGTGAGCAACGCAATGGAGATGGGAAGCCTATATGACAATGTAGAGCCTAGAAATGTGAAGAAGGAAGTGGAATGTGAATATGCCCAGGTTCAATTAAAAAAAAAGTGAGAAGAAATAGATCACACTTCTGTATTGCTCTGCCTATTTTTAAAACTATTTTTCAGAATGTCTTGTTCTCTTGTACATACGTTTCCTCATTTGCTTTTTGTTGTTGCTTTGAAACAGAATTTCAAATGAACAGAATTATGTTTCATTGTTTTTAATTTAAGAGGTTTTTAACATCTTGCAGATTTTGTGTCACTGAATAATTTTGTTTTACGTGCATGATATACTGTATTTTTACTCATATAATTATGTTTGGCTTGTGTAAATTGACAGATCCTCCTCTGTTTTACATTTATTTAGTAGTTTGGAATATTTTGTTTATTATATTCTTTTGAACATTGGATTTTTGTTAAAACATACCTTGCTGTAGAAACAATAATAATCCAATAATCCATAAAACTGCTTTTTGATGAAATGTTACGGAATAATGGTCTAACATTGTTACAGCTGCTGTGTTCAGAAATTAAGAGGTCAAAGGTGACTCACTGACTGCTGTACAGCCGCTACTTTCTTAAACTGCTAAGCTTGTTTATGGGTAAAATTGAGTTTCATCTGTTTGTATCACTGTTGCTGAGTATCATTACACATAAAAAAGATGACACAGTAAGCAAATATTTCAAATATTAGTGTCATCTGAAAATTATTTTACCCAACTTCTGGGATTTGTCCTAGAACAGGAAAAAGTAAAAAAATAAAAATAAAAGTTTAAAACCTGCAGAATTCTCACATTTAAACTGGAAATGTACATTGTTTAATAATTTTGCAATCAATAAAAGGTATTTTAAAGTATTTGTAGCTTTTCTGATATTGTTAAGTGTTTTATTAACACTATTTGCAATGCAGTGTATCTGTATAAAATAATATACTATATATAATGACTAGTCAATTATTTAATCAATGTTTTCCATATCAACTTATTAAGTACTAGTGACCATAGGAAATACTAATTATCATGTTGCATTATTCAGGTTACTGGCATAGTGTCTGTCACATGAACTGAATCAGTTAATACTACTTAAATTTAATAGTCATGCAACATTTCACCACAGGTTGAGTTTATATTGGTATTTATTAATTTGTAAGACATTTTAGAGGAAATAACTAATGGCTAACTACTAATAACTACTTGCAATATTCTGACTTCAATACTTGCTAATAGGCAGTGTCATCAGGTGTATTATAATTATCTGTATAATAGTTTCATCCTTTGCACAATGTTTTAATTTCAGGATTTTTACTATAATAGTGAACTGGTAAAGTTCAGTAATGGAACCAGTCAGATTATTCATAAAACGTTAATTATATCAATAATACACAAAAAAAATCTAAAAAACAATATTTGTAGGAGGAACAGGTCGGGTGTTGGTCATATACTGCGCCGCAAGATTCAGTGTCCCCGGGCCAACAGGTGGGTGGCGGTGCAGAAACATAGCAAGAAAGCTGGTTGTTGTTGTTTGATGTCAACTTTTGACATTACATTAATAACGTGGTTTACACTGATGATTTAACAGGACAAATACACCTGGTACAGAGCTGACAGAGGCCAGGAGGACTTTACTGGGACCGGACGTGTTTTAAACATTAAAGCTTCTAAAGTCAGGGGTCCTTTTATCTGCAGGGCTGATAATGATCTAGGAGCTGGACGTTGCAACATCAACCAAATAAACGGTGAATATAAGTTTTCGTTTATTTAAAGCTTTTATTTACCTTTTGGCTGTTAACACACTTTGTCATTGTAGACATACAACAACATTTTGTATGGTACCTCTCAGTGACAAGCGGCATCCAATAAAAACAAGATAAAAAAAGATAATACATGTAAATACAGTAGTACTGTAACCCATATTGAAATGTGATAAATGGAAGTAATTGATTGAAATGCATAAATAAGTTAATTAATTAAAATGAATTCATGTAAGAATCAATCAATAGCTTTAATTGAATGGAAACAGTTAAAAGTATGGCTGTAAGAAATTCTCATGAACTTCCCCTTTAGGAGACTCTCTGCTTGTTGCCGTAGCAAGAAGGAGAGTGGAGCAGAGAGGAGAGAAATTAACGAGGAAAATATTTTAATGAAAAGTTGATTTAGAAGCTGAAAAGTAACACCTGCCTGGTCCGGGATTCATGAAGATTTTATATTAGTAAACCACAACGGTTTTTGGTGAGTTTCAATTATTTTCGTTGAAGCTTTGTTGCAGTATAATAAATGCTAGCGAAGAGCTAACAGTTGAAAAAGCTATAAACATACTGTTAATCAGTTAATTAATTAGTTTGGTTTGTTAAGGAAATGAGGTATGAATGTATATTGTGTTAGTGGAAAAATGTGGAAATGTATTTTATGTAAAGGTGTGTGGTTAATTGCATGAGGGCAGGAGAAAAGTACAGCAGTGTGAACAACGTGGCAGTAATGTTGCAATTTACAGTAATTATAAAACTTTATCCTGGTTTATGTAGTTAGAATAATTCATTTACTTTTTTCAGTTTTTTCCTTGTTCCTGTATGAAGTTGGACTTGAGTGTTGCTTCTTCTGCAGTGTGTGGAGGGACGACAAACACACACACAAGCGCGGGATACAAGATGGCGAGCCAACCCATGGACCCATGAAGTTTCTAGAGACAACTCCGCTCCATCATGTCAGAAAGGATCCGCTGTGTACACACTGTTGGTAAACTGGCTGCCAGAGCGGTAGTGTTGGGGTTATTCTTTTTCCCCTTTTCTCTCTTTGGACTGAACTTGAACTGAAATTAAGTATTACTTCATATTGTATTCTGCAGTGTTGGGGTAGTTACTGAAACAAAATCCATTACACATTACTAGTTACTTTTTTAAAAAGTAATGCCTTACTTTACTGTGTTACTCGCTGCTTAAAGTAATTAGTTACACTACTAGTTACATTACTTTTGGATTACTCCATGAGATCACCTGAGATGCACCATACCTTCATTGCCAATGTTTTCTTTAGCTCAGTGTCCATCTTGACATAACACTGGTCCAGGTAGCTTGTAAAGGTTTTCCTGTCTGATGGCGGGCGTCCGCTCCGCGTTGTGTGTATTTTGCTCAGTTTCGAAAAGACGGCGATTCCACAGTTACTTTGTAAGCGTTACCCCCAACACTGGTCTTCATAATTGTGAAAGTTATGATTTAAAGCATAAGTGTTTGACTTGACTAAGATTTTTGAAAATGGTGTAAATATTCTTTTATTTTCTTACTTGTGAAGGAAAGAAAAAAGGAGTAAACTCAAGGAGATAGAAAGAAACCAAAAATAGGTGCGACCTGTCCACATAAAATAAGACAGTTACTTATAGACCGGTCTAATATAAAAACTTTCTAAACCAAATTATTTAAAATCTAGGTAAGGGGAAGATGAGTTCTATTTGACTTTTTTTGTTACCTGCAGGACTATTCACTGGTTCTAATATTTGTTATGTGTATTGTCTATGTTAAATTTCAGTAAACTGCTGGTTTTTGTATTTAAAGTACCTGGTCTCTGGTTTCATTTTGTATCGTTACCCCACTCTGTTGAACCTAGAACTGGTCCAGTAGCATTAATAGGGTTGTATTAGAGTATACATGTACTACAATACATATAAATATGAAGAGAGGCATTTGGATGAGCAGGTAAGCAGTGATAGTGCACATTGTCAGTATCAGTATAAAATATATATTTCACAACAGTTTGACAGTATACAGCAGAGACAAGATATGTGTAGTATATGTGTATGTGCTGTTTGTAATAAAGTTTTTATGTGCAATACAACAGGTGGGTGAATGAGTCTTTCAGTCTATAACTCCTGTGAGAGGGTGGGGGTGACGGAGGCTTCAGCTCTGGGGAAGAAGCTGTTCCTATGTGTCTGTTTGAACTAAATGAGATCTTTCTCTGTCCGTCCACTGACTCCTGGTAAAGGACTTTGACCAATTCCCAATCAATGCTCTGATACGTTTCTAAAGTAATTGATATACATTATCATATATTTTGTTGTTGTTTTTATTGACATTATTATTATTACTACTACTACTACTGCTACTACAGGTCAACAATCACTGAACTGAATCTACATTCAATATGAAATACATAAAGCTGTTGGAGTTGGAGTTAGATGATAAAATGTCCGTGTGCCATACAACTGTGTCCGCCTCCCCTATATGACGTGGGACTGTTTAAAACTGATAAAAAAAGTACATACATTTCATTTTCACACTCATGTGCACTTTTGTAACTTCCTCATTTTAAAGTTAATTCTTGCATGCGGTTCGAGAAAGCAACATAACTTTTAAGGAACTTCACTTCTCTATACGTCTTGATCTGTCTGCCTGGAAGACCTGAAGAAAATGTAAGTCATCATAACTTCTATATGACACATATTGAATTCATAAATGTTAAATACACTATGAAGTAATAAAAACATAAACATTAGGTCATTTTACTTTAGATCAATAAACAATGTTAAAGGTATAAAAAGAAAACACAGGTAGTAAAATGTCCCATTGAAATGTAAGCTGTAATTTGATTGTAGTTTGAGACAGTTGAAAATAGTTGTGAAAAAGAAACTGTACCTTTGTAAATAAATTGAAAGAAATCAAGAAAAGAGACCATATGTTTGTCATTTTTTCCTTTCACAAAACAGTATAACTTCCTGTTTTTCCTTTTCATCATTTCATCTTCTACGTCTTGTTTAACCAAAGCAGCATGTTGTAACTCTGACAAAGTGAATGTTACAAAGTGTGGGTCAAACAATAGTTTGTTTTTACAAATCTTTTATAATAAGTTATAAATAAAAGGCAAAATTGCAGAAACGTATTTAAAATAAGTATTGATTAATTTAACTGTTTAATTATAGTTTTTTCATGAAATTAAGAAATAGATACAGGATTGCAAACGTTTCTTTGTATGCAACCTCTGCAAATATTGCATTCAATAGTAGCCTCCAAATGAACCCTACTGTAAAGTTTATAAGGGATGAAATGTACTAATGATGTGAATTGTTCCATGTGTAATCTCCAGGGTTTCTGTCTCTCCTGACACACAAAGATGGCTGCAGCTCTGACTCTCCCTTCTCATTGGCTGTCTGCTGCAGAGTGAGTTAAAGTTCATTCACATTTTTATAGTTTTATAGTCATCAATGACTTTAAAACTATTAAAACCTATATCTACACACTGTTAGTTAAGCATTCACACAACAGAACAACAGTATCTATAATACATGGTGCACTAAATACATTTGATGGGTGAAACATTTTATTTTTATCTAGAAAAAAATCATTACAGTCATCTTTTTGGATTATTTTATGAATAAAGGTTTTGTGCTAAGATTCTAGCACGGCAACCAAACAGTCAAATTTCCTTATTATTGTAAAGTAGTTTTCACTTGTTCTCATTTACAGGTTTGTGTCTTGTGTTTCAGGTGTCCACTGTGGAGAGTTTAAGGTCACTATGCCGCAGACTATAGAAGTTCTCAGGGGATCCTGTGTGACCATCCCCTGCTCCTTTGATATAAAGGACGGATATAGATCAGACTTAGATAGAACATGTAAAGCAATGTGGAAACATTATCAAGATGTTGTTGTGTTTAATAGCAGAAATCCTCATTCGTCTACAATAAAAGGAAAACTGACAGGAGTCTTAACAGCTAAAGACTGCACCACAACTCTGAACAACATGCAACCTGAACACAGCAATAAATATTACCTCAGAGTGCAATGTGACAATGGCCTCAAATATGATTTTTTTGAACAAAAGTTGGACATTTCAGTAAAAGGTAGGTTTTAAAGTCAATGTATTTACACTTAAGTTATTTAGAACTGCTTTGACCTTGTACTCCATTAATTGCACTTTTCAAATAGTATATAAAACGGAGAAGAATTACATTTTTACTGACTGGTCAAAATGTACCTTTCCTCAGATGATCCTCACAGACCGACTCTGACTCCGTCCACACTGGAGGTGGAGGAGGGAACCTCAGTGAGTTTGAAGTGCTCTGCTCCAGCTCCCTGTCTGTCTCATCCTCCAACTCTGACATGGACCCCCAGCCTGGGTCACAGTCAGGAGACACTGGAGGAGAATCAGGACAAAACTAAAGTCAAGACCTCTGTTGTGAACTTCACTGCTTCTCACCTCCATCACAGACAGGAAATCTCCTGTACTGCCGTCTACAACAAACAAGATGGCAGCACTGAGTCATCTGTTAGCACAAGTTTAACAGCTGATATTTCATGTAAGTTCATTTGTTTGTTTGTTTTTAATTCATCATGAAACAAATTTAATTGAATTAGTCAAATCTTCTACAAAATATTAGCAGAAAAGTAATTTTGATGACAATATTTATATATAATGCTTTTTATAAAAAAGAGCAAAAACATGACAAATTACTTGATTTCCAAATATCAGATTACATTACACCTTTAAATAATACCAAACATTTATTTGTCATTTTTTGTGTGGAAGTGCAGCAAGAAAGCTGGCTGTTGTTTGATGTCAACTTTCTTTTACAATGATGCTTTACCAGGATGAATATGATCAAAGTTAATTCAATCTCCAGGGAACACAGATATTACGACTTATAACTGACAATGTAACACATACCAATGATATTTATTTTCAGATTCCCCCAAACACACCACAGTGTCAGTCAGTCCCTCTGGTCCAGTACCAGAAGACAGCACTGTGACTCTGACATGCAGTAGTACTGCCAACCCAGCAGTAAGGAACTACACCTGGTACAGAGCTGATGGAGGCCAGGAGACTTTTATTGGGACCGGACGTGTTTTAAACATTGAAGCTTCTGAAGTCAGTGGTCCTTTTTTCTGCAAGGCTGAAAATGATCTTGGAGCTGGACGATCCAACATCAGTCAAATAGGCGTTCAGTGTAAGTATCTAATATCAAACTTGAAATGTTCTATATACTCTGATAGGTCTAGCTGTATGCAGTACACTGATTTACATTTAATAATATATTTTCATTATTTGGCTAAGTTAGATATTTACGGTATGTTTAGGATTTTTAAAATGTCCAACTTTAGCACCACTGTGTTGTCATCAAAAAATATTTTTGTGTAGCACATGTATACTCTAATACAACTCTATTAATGCTACTGGACCAGTTCTAGGTTCAACAGAGTGGGGTAACCATACAAAAATGAAACCAGAGACCAGGTACTTTAAATACAAAAACCAAGCAGTTTACTGAAATTTAACATAGACAATACATATAACAAATATCAGAACCAGTGAATAGTCCTGCAGGTAACAAAAAAGTAAAGTAGAACTCACTTTCCCTCTTTTTTTTCCTCACCTAGATTTTAAATAATTTGGTTTAGATAGTTTTTATGTTAGACCAGTCTATAAGTCTATATTTTATTTTATGTTAATATGTTGCACCTATTTTTGGTTTCTTTCTATCTCGTGTTAACTCTTTTTAAAGTTAGAAAACAAAGAATATTTACACCATTTTCAAATATCTTAGTCAAGTTACACCCTTATGTTTTAAATCATAACTTTCACAATTATGAAGACAGAATAAAGTAGTAATTTCAGTTCAAGTTCAGTTCCACTCTTGTATTTCAGTTCAGCTCAGTTTAAAGAGAGAAAAGTGGAAAAAAGAATAACCCCAACAGTCCTACCGACCTGTCCAACAGGTCACGAAAGAAAGTAATTATTCTAACTACATAAACCAGGATAAAGTTTTATAATCACTGTAAATTGCAACATTACTGCCACGTTGTTCACACTGCTGTACTTTTCTCCTGCCCTCATGCAATTAACCACACACCTTTGCTTTACATAAAATACATTTCCACATTTTTCCACTAACACAATATACATTCCTACCTCATTTCCTTAACAAACCAAACTAATTAATTAACTGATTAACAGTATGTTTATAGCTTTTTCCAGTTACAACTGTTAGCTCTTCGCTAGCATTTATTATACTGCAACAAAGCTTCAACGAAAATAGTGAAACTCAGCAAAAACCGTTGTGGTTTACTAATATAAAATCCTCATGAATCCCCGACCAGGCAGGTGTTACTTTTCAGCTTCTAAATCAAAATTTTCATTAAAATATTTTCTCTCTTTAATTTCTCTCCCTCTCTGCTCCACTCTCCTTGTTGCTATGGCAACAAACAGCAGCAAGTCTCTTAAAAGGGAAGTTCATGAGAATTTCTTACAGCCATACTTTTAACTGTTTCCATTCAATTAAAGTTAAACAATTATTAATTGATTCTTACATGAATGTATTTGTATGAATTAACTTATTTATGCATTTTAATCAATTACTTCTATTTATCACATTCAATGTGGGTAACATCTGCATTCCACCTTACTAGTTAATCCTTTTCAGTCTCAATATCACACATGTTAATACAAGCTAGTCAGTCATTTAATGGTGTCTCTCCTCTTTAACTAGTTAAGTACTAGTGAAGAAAGGAAATACTAGTGACCTTGTTGTATTATTCAGGTGTTTGCACTCAGGGTCATCAGTCACTAAAAAGGGTGTTGGCACCAAAGCTTCAAAGAAAAATTGTGACACAATCTGCCCCAATTATTTCATGAAACATATCAGATCAAATTACACCTATAAATATTATAAATAATAGTTCCATAAATTTTGTCATTTATTTTCAGATTCACCCAAACACACACAGTGTCAGTCAGTCCCTCTGGTCCAGTACCAGAAGACAGCACTGTGACTCTGACATGCAGTAGTACTGCCAACCCAGCAGTAAGGAACACACCTGGTACAGAGCTGATGGAGGCCAGGAGACTTTTATTGGGACCGGACCTGTTTAAAACATTAAAGCTTCTGAAGTCAGTGGTCCTTTTTTCTGCCAAGGCTGAAAATGATCTTGGAGCTGGACGATCAACATCAGTCAAATAGACGTTCAGTGTAAGTATCAAATTTCAAACTTCGAAATATCTATATACTCTGATAGGTCGAGCTGTGTGCAGTACACTAGTTTACATCATAATATGTTTTCATGTTTATTAGCTAATAGATATTAAAGGATGTCTTAGGGTTTCAAAATGTCCAACTCTAGCACCACTGTGTTGTTATCAAAAAATAGACTTTTGCATTCCACCCTTTCTAGTAAATCTTTTCAGGTTTACAATAACTCACACGTTAATACAAGCCAAGCGAGTCATTTTAATGGTGTCTCTCCTCTTTAACTTGTTGTTGAGTAGTTAAGATGGGAAATACTAGTGACCATGTTGTATTATTCAGGATGTACTCAGGGTCATCAGTTACAAAAAGAGTCGGCACTACCACTTTGTAAGAAAATCGTGGCCATTTCTCACTTTATTATTTCATAACAAAAAATCATTGAGATCAAACTTACAGCCCATAAAAAATACAAATGATCTTTCATTAAATGTTATCATTTCTTTCAGGTCACCGAACACACCACAGGTGTCAGTCAGGCCCTCAGGTCCAGTATCAGAGGATAGCATGACTCGGCATGCAGTAATGTTGCCAACCCAGCAGTAAGGAACTACACCTGGTACAGGGCTGATGGAGCCAAGGAGACTTCTTTGGGACGGACGTGTTTTTAAACATTAAAGCTTCTGAAGTCAGTGGTCCCTTTTTCTGCAAGGCTGAAATGATCTTGGAGCTAGACGATCCAACATCCAGTGAAATGGACGTTCTGTGTAAGTAGCGCAGTGATTTAAGGCGAGGCTAGAAATCGGTTTATCTGAGATTCTATTTGAGTCATGGTATTCATTATCTTTACTGTGTTTACATTTTCCCAAAGCTCCTGGTAGCTCATAGCGTTAACCCATAAAGAATATCATTTAATGTAATTATTGATGCACAATGTCTTCAGTAAGATGTTAACAAAATGTCTTAATTGATGCAATAAATAAGCAGGTCAGGTTTAGAGTTTTGTGAAAAACAAAACAAAAAATGATAATGAATCATTTTTACTCTAAACACACAAATCACCACATAGTGGTAAGCAAAAGGCTCTCGTCTAGATATTATCTAATTTTGGTGGTAGGAGTTCAGTTGGAAAAATATTAAACCTGATGAGATATAGTTTTGAGTCCCATTCATAGTAATTAGACTCTTTCACAGTTTTCCAACTTCGTACTCCATGCTTCAGTTACCTAAACAAGTTAAACCAGTGATTCAGTGTATAGACAGCTCTTTAACACCTTCAAAATCTTCCACCTTTTACAGGTTATTGATATTATTTAACTTTTAGATCCGAAGGCAAGTATAAAAAATTGTTGCGTCAAACTTGTTCCGACGGCTCTTCAATGATTCACATCATTGAGAAAGAATTTCAAAACCAGTAATTAAACCTAGCATGGCTGTTCAAGGATGCATTCACACACATTCTCTAGTTCTATATGAGAGGGTTGTACGTTACATTAAAGTGTCTCTAATATTTAGTCTAGTAATAATATGAGGCAAGATTAGAACATTGACCGTCACTGACAAATATGGTCACTGTATGATGTAATAACCTCTTTGTTCTTTCTTGAACATCCACTGAAACTCCTGGGTAATATTAAATTCCAGTCAATGCTCCTGATGTTGCTCTATAGGTTTAAATCAATTGCATATATGTCTATGTTTACAATTTATTGACTTCATTTAGCTCACCTGAGACACCACAGGCCCTCATCAGTATAGAAGTCACTTCTTTGATAAAATCAGGCAAATACACTAACAGATATTCAAACCATGTCATTAGTTAACCCACTTGTTAAATGACTTAACCCTGGTTAATAATGCTACAAAGCAATTCCTTCATTCTCTCTAGTAACAGACCTACAAATGACCTCAGAAAAGACCCTCAATGTGGAAAATGATTGACTTTGCATTAGTTTTGTCTTCACTTGCAACTTACAGTTCATGATATCAGTACATATTTATTCATTTTTCAAAACTTAGTTAAGCATGACTATTGCAGAAAGCGGACTCAGACATGTGACAGCAAGAGGAGTCAACACACAAATATCCAAAGCCTAAAATAATTTATAGGAAAATAGGAATTAGGATTTATGTAATGACCTGGCTTTAAGGAAGAGAGGCGTGGATTTTATTTTTATACCTTTGACCCCTCCCCAGTAAGGAAGCCACATGGGCTGTCACAAACTTCATTCTTAACTTGTCTGTCTTCTCTACATTCATTACAGTTGCTCCTGATCCTGCCCTCATTTATTGCATCAAAACTGCA